GAATGCAACAATTCGGCCTCAATACTTGCGAGAACAATCAATAATCCTATACAAAAACGACGGCGAGTATCAAAATGTACAGCTCGGAAGAGATGGCCATCTTGACTCGAACCATTTATTGTTTCATTTTTTTCTCTTTTCCCGGAATTTGGAAGGTGTGGTTCAATTATGAAAGCAAAAGGACCTTCAGGGTCAAGGAAGGACAGTCTTTGTCTTTGGTCACTCATCGGCAACTTTCCGCTTTAGATTCAGGGAAGTACAGTTCTGATTTCTTTCCTATCTGGTCCAAAAGACTGCAATTAAACAGAAAAACTTTTATCAGTAAAAAGGAGCTTTTAGCCGCAACTGGGGCAAGTAACATCCACATACAACGTAATCAAAGAGGTCGTAAGTAATACATGGTCACGTAAGAACACACATTGTGTGCTTATCTGTGTGTGAAATACAAGGGAAGGGATTAAATATTACCTCAGTTCCATAGCCTTTCACATAGATATTTGTGAAGAGTTCGGAGGGTTCTGGCATCGGGCTTTCCTGAAAACAGGAACAACAGACATCAAATACAGTGTGACAGAATGATAACTAGTAACAATAGAAAGTTGGCTGCACCCGTCGCGTTTAAAAAGGAAGATAAAATTAAACTAATGAAATCAAATGACAACAACAGAAAGTTACACTTACTTTGGCTTGAGCAATGGCTTCATCAACTACTTTTCTTACTTCCTTTTCAATATCCTAAAAGAAGAGTAAAGAAAAAGATAAATACACACTTTTTCTGATTGTCCTTTATGGCATTCAAGCAGGGATCGATCCCCTACCAGCAAGATGAGAAACAGGAATGGGACCAATAAACTAACATTTAACCTCAATTAAGAACTTTTATACCCGAATCGAAATGAAATTAAATTTAATATAGAAGTGAGCATAGTTGAATTGTATACCTTTAGATCCTTCTCAGTAGCTAGATCATGAGCAAATATCAGCTTTCTTATTCTATCAATTGGATCACGCTCCTAGAAATCGCATCACAAAGTAAAATTATAAAAGACACTTACAAAACTGTGGCATATAATCTCCAAAATAAGGGAGGGGGAAAGGATTTAAGTATGCATATCAAACCTGTCTCACGCCAGAAATCTCATCACGTGTGCGGTAGGTGCTACCAGGATCAGACATAGAGTGACCATGGTACCTGTAAGTGTCCATTTCAAGAATCTGACCACCAGTATCAGGAAGATTGTCAGGCAAAAAATATCAGGTAGAGTAACAACAAATTCAACAATTATAACACTTGAAATAGTTCCATGAGTTTATGAATAACAAGTATGCAATCCAAAGACTAAAAAGCTCTTGGACGACTTCATATATCACACAGAACACCATTTCAAAAAGACCAATTAATTTCTACGGTTCAAAGGTTGATCTAGACAAAACTCTGGGTCTGAATGAAGGTTACAATTCCTCAATGAACCACACAGGCTTCTCTAAGTATCTGAACAATTTCAAATTAGAAAAAGGGAGAATGTAATACTTGGACCAAACATTTCATTTCATGCCCCTTTTCATTTCCAAAGTATTATATCTCTCTTTACTTCCACAAAGGGTGTACGAATGCTAAAAAGGCAACTCTTCAAGTAGAAAATGCATTGCTTACCCAACAAAGTACTGGAGTCCATGCAACTGTAACCCAAGTTTATACTAGAATTCTAAAAGGATTCTGCATCAAATTTCGGAATGTCTGCAAACAGAGTTGCAATTTCTAAAACTAAAATCATAGTCATACATTTACTGTCAAACTGACCCCAGACTAAAGGCTAAGACGTTTCCCTCATACGCAAGATTAATTCACAGACCACATGCTTGATAGTTCATTGTAGCTTCAATCTAACGTACGCTTAACATTCTCTGGCAGCATTTGCAATCACAATGGAATTATGAGTCCTCCCACAAAAAGTCATTTGACATACGCACTACCTATCAGGTTTTGCTTCTATATGTGGGACTATAAACTAAAACAGTGAAGCAGATGTCCTAACAATAAATCAAATCATGTTGCCATAGTTTGCACAAAGAACTTTCAAAAAATCATGTCAGAGCAAACAACGGAGGAATAACTCACGATGGGTCCGTTCTTCAGAGCATGCTCCTTGGCAAATTTGCATGCCTGCTTTACGGCAAACACATCCATACCGTCCACCTGAAGATTAGCCACAAACCATTAGCTAAATGAGCATAAACTCCTACTAGAGACAATAATCTGATTATCATCTACAATCGTCTACCCATTCAATTCACACGATATAATCAATTCAGTATGACTTAGTAAGTACTTACAACTTACATGTTATACCAATCACAAAACCATCATTTCCTCAATTAGCTAACAAAATTCAAAGCAAATGCACAAGCAGCAACCAATAAAATTCCACACTGAAAAATTCTATCTAACCTTCAAGCCAGGAACATAATCTCCACGCTTGTAATATGCGGGACTCTTCGCCGCTCTCCACTCGGCGGTTCCCATTCCATCTGCGTCAAAAGCACACCGAAATCATTCAGTATATGTAAATTGACAGTTTCTATTGATTCTATTGAATCAATCTTTTGTTTATGAAGAAACACGTACTTACAGTGATTATTCTCACAGACCAAAATCGCAGGCAGATCCCAAAGCGCAGAAATGTTAAGCGCCTCGAACAACTGCCCTTGATTGGCCGCACCGTCACCGTAGAGAGCAAACGTCACCGTTTCGTCCTTGGAGTACTTCTGCCCAAAAGCCAATCCACATCCCAGCGGAATCTGAGCGCCGACTATACCGTGGCCGCCATAGAATCCAGCGTCCTTCTTGTAGAAATGCATGGACCCACCTTTCCCCTTGGAGCAGCCAGCCTGGCGCCCCATGAGCTCGGCGAAAACCTGCAGGAGGGTCCCACCGCGGCCGAGGAAGGTGCAGTGGTCACGGTACGCGGTGATGATGCAGTCCTTTTTGGTAATTGCAGCCTCCATGCCGATGGCGACGGCCTCCTGGCCGTCGTACAGGTGGCAAAACCCTCGGATCAGCTTGGCCTTGTAGAGCGAGTCGGCGGCGATCTCCATCCGGCGCATCAACGCCATGTCGCGGAAGAACGTCATAAGCTCCTTGGGAGTGGTCTCGAGCGTGCGCGACGGCGGCTCACAGTTGTGGGAGGTGAAGGGGAGGGAGGTCTCGATCGTGAGGGCGGTGGAGTCATCGGCGGCGGATGATATCGGACGGCGGAGAGATGGGGTGAGGGATAAGGCGGAGGCGAAGGGCCTCAGGAGATTGGAGCCCGAGGAGGAGGAGGCTAGGCGGGATAGAGCCATATCTGACCGTTGGATCGTTCCGGTTGTCTGAGACTATGGGAGCTGAGAAACTGGTGAAAGAAAAATGAAAAGCGTTTGTGGAGAGTTCGGGAGTTTGGCAGCGGAAGTAGAAGAGATTTTTGAGTGCGACGGAATACGAGATGTATATAACGTGTCAGTGTTAAATATGTGTTAAAAAATTAATAATTAAAAAAATATTATTTTTAATCACTTGTATGAAAACATATACCATCCGTTTCCGGTTACAAAAAAAATTTTTGAACCGAAAAGTAAGCTGTCGTTTTTTTGTGGCGGAGTGATTTCTTTGACTTTATCATTTTGTTATTATTTTATAAATTATATTAAGTGAATGTTTAAAATTGAATTAGAATTAATTAATGAGTTTATTTTTTATTAGTGGCATATTATACTGTCTAAACAAATGATTTCTTTAGCATTTTCTTTATAATTCTTAACTTTTATTTATTTTATATTCCTGAGTCTATAGTTGTAGTATATTTTTGTGGTTGTTTGTTAATTTAATTTGCACTGAAAAACTTAATTTTGAGTATTTGACTAAAATAATCCGTACAAGTGTTGGTAGCAAATGCGAAATGGGGTTTGGTGGAAGGACGCAAAGATGCGCTTGCGCTACATGCGGTTTGGTCATTTGGTGGGTGGATATTATATGGTCTACACATATTGAACGGCGGCTGGGCGGGCGCCTTATTATTATTTGTTTATTTTGCCAATAATTTGTTTGAGTTGATAATAAACAAATGATGGTCTATTTGGTCTTTAGCTCAAAGGCTATAAAATTCTCATATACCATTTGTTTATTTTTTGCCACCAAATTGAGTAAATCAAACGAAAACATTGATTACGGTTGACAAACATAACTTAAGACATCTCAATTACAAATTAAGATGAATATTACTAGACGGTGATAATGTTGGGTTACTGAATCAACGTCGTCGAAATGACCAATGTTTCGTTTTCGATCAATTCGGTGCATTCCGATGGCGGTGGTGGCGGCGGCAGCGGATTTACGATGATGGCTAGGTCATGGTGTCTTGATTATAGTGATAGCTTGGTGGTGGTGGTTTGAGATGATTGGTGGTGGTGAATCTCAGATTTCGATGTGGAAGTGCGTGAACACATTAGACAAGATGCAGCAGCAGATTCCGGATTCAAGCAAATACTAAATGCGGATTATAGACAAATACAAAGCCCACTCAGCCCAATACCAAATTACGACCATCTGAAAGATAGAAAGATAAATTACTCATGAAGAAAACTTCTCCCACCATTGCAGTATCAGAAGGGATGAGTTTTCTCCCTGTTGAGCGATACCAAATTATTTCTCCCCTCTTTAAGTGTAAGTACATCGTTGTTTAAAAAACAAATCATCTTCTAATCTCCACAAAACGAAAAATCATTCGCTTCCGAAATTAAGAAATTATCCGTTCTAATCTAATCCTCCATACCAAATGATACTAAAGACGACATGGGTATCGCTCGCATAAACACACGGACCAAAAATGGAAGATTAACGATTAGCAAGTAAAAACCGGGCTGGCTGGTCTCCCGGCCGAATCAGTCCGGCTATTTTAATGACCGACGCATATAAGTATCCACCGTAAAATTAATTAGAGCTTCCGTTACGACATTAAAAAAGATTTAACAAAAAAAATTGATGAATAAAATGAACATGCATCTCAAGTTTACAACACAAATTACCTCTATTTACATGAATGCGGCTTAAAGATCCGCATCCCCTTCCCCCTCTCCTCAAATTCTTTATTAGGTTGGAGAGACGGATGTATGAGAATACACAGGCAATTCCACCAAAAGCTTTTTCGCTCACAGCGCCTCAAATTTTTCGAGTTTCCAGCCCCACGGTATGTAATGCTTGCAAAATGCTACTGGAGAAACAGATGTAAACAGCATCACACATAGTTTGAGGGTTTTCTCAATTATATTAACTAAAAAGGACTACTTAAACGATAGAAGTGTCAGACACCGGTATTAAGAAACGAAGCACATACCATATTTACTTGATGGTCAAAAGATGACATATCATGAGCTCGAAAGCAACCGCTGAAATCGTTCTACTCTACTAGAACCGTTAGGAAACCTAGCCGGGTTATGGCATGAACTGTTCTGGTGCAAACTTTTCCTTTTCTTCTTTGTCCGAAACAGAAAGTCTTCTGTATCTAAGACGTACGAGACCTAACACACAAAAGTTTAATTGATTAACAGATGCAGAAAGGCCAGAAAAGAAGACCTAATCATAGAAAGGAAATCCAGACTGGCTCAATTTAATGCAAAACTTATCGTCGTAATGCACCAAAATAATAACTAGCTAACATATAGGCAGAGGAGTGAATGTAGTACCTTGGATGAATGGCAAGCAATCTTACACTCCAGACCATTGGCGACTTTTAGCCCTTCCATGGCCTCACAGATTGCAGACAATTCATCACTACTATACTTGAGTTTGTTCCTGGGAAAAAAAATTAAAAAAAAAGCAAGGCATTAATAGTCATGACAACTCAACTTCAAAAACTCCGTACTGCCAACTATAGCAAACTTACCTCTTCAAGAAGATCCCAGACTTCTCTTTTTTGTCAGGAAGAACTGACAGGAATTCATTATGCAGATATGCGGAAAAATTAGGGTCCATGGAAACAGCAGTCATTTCAGGCTTATCATGCCCAAAATCCATAAGTTGAACAGACACCCGGGTTGGGGAGGATGCCTGCAACGAAGAAAATAGTGATTATAGATTTAGAGTTGAAATTGCATTAGTGTAGATAGTATTACAACTTAGAATGTAACATAAGAGACATACACATTCGATGCGATAAATGTTCTCATCATAAAGAAGAACACGAGCATTTTCGTGATAAACCACATCAACAAATCTTCCCAGTTTTCTTGATTTTTCAAATGCATAAAGCTGGAAAAGTTTGTTGTCCATCTCATCACTGGCAACAGTTTGGAGCTGAAAAAATAGGAAATGAAGCAAAACTTCTGGGGTCAAAAAAAGGGAGATGGGAAAGAAACTTGAAGAAAGAAGAAAATGTATGGCCATCCAACCTGCTTAACGAGTTTGTAGATCAGCTTGTCTAATGTGAATAGAAGATATGATTGTGTCCCAATGATGGCTCGACAATCATCCTCAAATTTTGTATTGTCAGAAGAACCGTCAAGTAAATTGTAAAGTGCACTCATGAATCTGTACCATAAAATAAGGAGTTAGGAAATATATACACTTAGTTGTGAACAAACAAGGAGACCAAAGAAAAACCACCTAGCATAAGAATCTGAAGGGCTCGAATCATTTGAAGCAGCCCGCCACTTCCTCTCAGCAGATGATGAGTTAATCTTTGCTGATTGTATTCTCTCATATAATGTCTATCAAATAAGTGAAACAGTTGGGATACACGTATATCAACATCACCATCTACTAAATTCAAAGAAAAAAAAAAAAAATATTGACCAAAGTACTTGCATATAATCCATTAGATTAGATATGGACAGTTGAGATATATACGAGTACGACCCACTAATCCACATATGATCTAATGGCTGAACTACAAGTACTTAAGTTTAAGTCCTTGTGCACCAATACACACGTACACTTGTGTGTACGTGTCTTAATAATTAACCTTACTTGGTGAAGCCTGAATAGCACATAGAAAGAATCATTTCCGTAAAATATCCGAGAGTCCCTCTTCTCCTTGTCATGTAAAGCTGAAGGAACATACTTTGCAAGAGGCTTCACGGTCAGGAGAAAACGTTCTGAAAGAGGCAAAGATATTCCATCTCCTTCAACATCATGGGCATCAGCCATCCCTTCAGCTTCACCTTCACTCTCGGCCTTAGTATCGTGCTCATCATTGTCCCCATCTTCCTCACGCTCTTCACGAGAACATTCCTCCCCATCACCAGACTCGCTTCCAGAAACATCACCATTCTCAGAGGCATTCTCACTATCCTCCGATGACCTCGGAGCACTTTCCTCACCTTCATCATCGGCATCAGCTTCATTTTCTCCACCTGTCTCTCCAGCACATATTTCTTCTTCCCCATGTCTGGCTTGATATTGCCTGCTGATAGTACCATGCTTTGATTTTTGAACGGCCTCTGAACCAGCTTCTCTATAGTTTGCAAAATTATCCTCCTCAAAATCTCCATTTGGAGATATTTCGCCTTCTTCTCTTTCAATCTTGAAGTGCCTAGCAGACTCTTCAAGATATCTGAGACCCTTGGCGCCTTCTGCTATTGCTCCATTTGAGGAAATACCTGGTCTTGTAGAATCACCAACCTATGACATCAATAGGAACACAAATATCTTCAGCACATATTTACCGTGACAATATAGAAATAATATCCAGTACCCACCACAAAGACCACTAGCATACAGTTTGTCAGCCATAGCACAATTTGATGAGTAGTAAATACAATCACTGAATTGACTTATCAAAAGTTGATATTAGAACGTATCTTACTACATACAAGCAGACTACATACCAATGCATGTTTATCCACAAGATTTATCTAATAGCTGATTACAATGTATCTACCCCATACATTTAAGATAGCAACATGCCATATCAAGTTTATCATCTCAACATAATCAACGAACAAGGTTGCAAACTGCCATGTGGTTGGAAATTTATATAAACTCTAAATATAGCTGTAAGTGTCATACCTTTTGTTTCATTTGTTACAACATATCTTTCAGCTTTTACCAAAGACACTCACGATAAGAATCAACTCACCAAACACAGTTTCCAAAATTCAGTGCAAAAACCTCTACAAGATTAATATTACACACACACAACAGGAAACTCTATTTGTTCCCATCTAACCTTAACTGTTCAACATGTGCAAAGATTGCTATTTTTTCACTACCCTTTCACCATAAGTATTCAAACTACTAACCAAAATTAGTTTCATCAAATATGTACCAACAACCCATACTGCCAATATCAACCAGGGTTCTCAAAACATCAAAGTTTTACCACTGGACCAGCCATACCTCTGATGAAGGTAACTCCAGCCCAACATCAACAGTGCCATTACCAGGTCTGGACGGAGTAGGACTATGCCCTAGTAACCAACAAAAAAAAGGATTTCAGAAATCTAGTTGCAATTTCAGAAAGAAGATTATGAAATAAATAAATAACAAAGCAATACGTCCAATTAGTACGAAAAAAAACTCAGTAGTTTTGAATGTTCTACAAACCTGATGAGTGTTCTAAATTAGTTCTTCCATTACTTTGCTCCAACCCAGTGGCAAGTGATGCATTAGAATTCACTAATCGTTCATTGAAAATGTCTAGTTTGCTAGCCCCAGACGTTTCATCAGCTGTAGATGTATTACTCTGCACTTTACCTTGTTGAGAGGTATTGCAGAAAGTATCACCTTTACATGCAGCACGATCAATGTCAAGCGAACTTTCTTCTTTGACCCCATTAGCCCCATTTACTGTCCAAGTCCTGCAAGAACTTGACTGTTCAGGTTGAATGCTTTCATCACCATTTCTTGATGAATTTAACTGTTTGGAATTCGTCAAAGTAGCATCAGCATCAGGACTACCATCACTCTCTCCCGGACTTACAGAACCACTCTTTACGGTAAGATTTTTTGCTTTCACAACATCTTCAGTATCCTCTGCACCTTGAGGCCGTGTAGGAACACCAAGTATTGGTTCAAGAAAAGTTGTCCATATCTTCATAACTTTATCCAATTGTTCGGTAGTGCAAACTTCTCCACAAGAATATTTGATGAGTTGATACAGATCTTCATGGATTTCTGGGTCAGGGTACTCAAATTCCAAATTAGGAATAATCGGTCGTCTATTTCCAGCAGCAATAGCAAGAAGAACATCATCTTCCTTCCGCTTCTTCTCACTAATCTCTTTAATCTCTGCCAACAAGGCTGCAAAAGTTTGTTCCCATCAATGAGAGGAAAGAAGAAACGAGCAATAAAATCCATAAGTGGAAAGAGCAATTGCAAAAGAATGGAAGAATACGGAATCTCAATATTCTAAACTAAAATGGAAGAGAAAGCTTGCTGCCATTATTAATTTGTAAAACTAAAAACTCTCAGTCAAAGAAAATAAGGAAAAAGAAGATGCAATTTTTAAATTACCTTTTGTGCTTAAGCTCTTGGTGTCTTGTTGCTTAAAGTAGAAGCTACGATGATCAAGTGACTTGTGATAGTTCTTGGCATATATATCAGCCCAAACTTTATTAAAATCCGAACGACACCTTGCCCACTCTTCTTGCTTTTGCTTCAAACGGGTCAATATGACAGGCAAACCTAGTGGAGCATTTTTCCTCAACACATCCATCACATCAAGCCCATGGTCACCATATAATCGCTCAATGCACCTTAGGTTCAAAGCTAGAAAAGAAGAGACAAGGGAAAAGTTCTGTCAAAAATATATCCCCATGAAAAAGAAAATCAACAACTGAGGTTATATTACATAAGCAGGTATCTTCAATTCAGTCATTAAAATAATAACCTGTGAAGTGTTCTTCAATACGAATTGGACTGTCCATCTTAATTGTATTGTTGTTGATCTTTTCTAGTAGCTCTTCCACACGCTTGGTTGTTACGTTCACGGACTCCAACAACATATCCAGCTCAAACCTAAGAAATATAAGAAGATGAATTACCCAGTGCCAAAGTCAATTCAGCCAATAGCTGGAAATCTTTACAAGCAATTGGTAATTTGGTGGCGCAACGAAGGGCAAAAGGTAGAAATAAACAGCATGACACAAATCTTTCCCTCTCGAAAGACAGATGCCAAAAACCAAAAACAGAGGTTCCCTGTTTATAAATAAGCATTACCAAAGTGCAAAAAATGGCAACATGAACCCTAATCACCTACGACAATAAATACAATTTTGAGGGAGGTGCGTAGGGAACAACCACCTTGAGTTAATGTTGCTAGAAAACAAATAAATAATGGGAAAAAAAATGGTTGATATTGAAAAATCTTTGACCAACCTGTCATCCTCACACCGAAACAGGCTTTCTTCATACTGGTTTTTGCGCATGTGTTTAAAAGAATAATCCTCACTTCCAGAAGTAACGGATACCCAGTGATCATTTAATACTTCAGAACCAAGCTCTGTTCTTTGGCTAGCAGAAGGTATTGGATACTGCATGACATGAAAAGACAAATAGAAATATCAGTAAAAGCATCAATACCTCCTTAAAAAGGAAAAATAGATAACTGTCTCTGAAAGCACCACATACGTTCTTTGGCAGGAGACGATAACTCGGAGTGCAGCGCTCACAGTTGGAGAGGTCAAGCTCGTTAATGGGTTTTGCCAAATATTTATCCTTGCTGGTAAATAAACTCTTCTGGCCTCCAACTTCTTTATTTCCAAAGGCACCATTTTTATCAAGTCTATCTCTTTCTCGAGATTCATGCTCTCTATCTTTAACCCCATCATCCCTTTCACGATCTCTATCCCTATCCCTATCTTCTACCTTCACTGATCTTGGTATATGTCCTTCATTCCACAAGGATTCTGTGATGAATTAAGAATTAAGAGTTGGTTTGCAAGTCTATTGACAAAGTACAAAATATTTATTAAAAAAAACTACAAATTAACCCTCAGATCAAATTAATAAATAAAAAAAAGGGAAAAAAATGGTTATGTTCAAGACCATGCCAGTGCCCGAAGTCTTATGATAAACTAAGAGGAGGATCTAGCTTATATGGAACAAAAAAAGGGAACAAATCATGTTACGTACTTTTACTCATGACACCGGCAAGGAACCCATCTGCAGGACAGGACTCAATTAGATAGTGTTAATCACACATATATAGTGCAGGTAAAAGAATAGACTAGAACAAACCTTTCTTCTCACAACATGCCAAAAAATCATCGAACCCATCCATAAGTTCTGCATATCTTCCAATTAAATCAGCCACCTACACAAGGTGAAATTAGAGATTGTGTTCTGTAAATTTCCTTTTAACAGGTAAATAAATTATAACAGTTTATATCAGTATTACAAGTATACAACTTACCAAAGACTGCAATTCAGAGCGTGTAATAATTTCCTTGCTATAAATATGAAGGCACTTCAAAAATTCCTGGTAATCTTCAGGATTTTGTAATTTCTCCTTCACTTTCTCGCAGAAAGCAAACTCCTGGCCGTACATACCTGCGATGACATACAATGAGTAAAAGAAGCTGCTGGAGGAAGAACAAACAGGCAAATAAAGTGCTCATCAAAGAATAAAAGTGCACAAACAACTGATCATATAGTTGATACTGACAAAAATCTTAACTTATGTATATGCAACAGTACTGAACTGTCCAAGGTGTGACAGTCTTTACTTAGTTCAAAAATATCATATAATTCTCACTCTTTGCAGAATTTTTATCATCATAAGAGGATGAAATGAGATTTGCTGCAAAATTTTCAAGGCCTTGCCCACCTTGCTGCAATTGTTCAGTGTCCTCAATCCTACGAGCAGATTTCCGTTTGTGGGAAAAACGCTGCATACTGAGGTCTCTACTGCCATCATGGTCAAAATCCCTATCATCCCGTTCTCTTCTTTCTCTGTCTTCTCTCCTCTCCTTCTCCTTCTCACCACGCCTCCTTTGATCTTTGTCCGCTTTCATTAGAGCTTTATCATGGTCAGGATCAGGACGGTCAACGCTGAGATCATGGTCAGCATAAGAACCCATGGTCCTTTCTTTCTGGCAACAATGAACCAGATGTTAGCATCAACAACAATGAGACATCAGAATTAAAAAATAAGTAATACAAGGGTGAGAGAGTGAGAGAGTGAGAATGGAAAAAAAAACCTTGTCCACATGCATTTGCCGCATCGTAGGCATCGCAGAGCTCCTATCACGGAGCATCGAGTTTCTATGAGGTGGATGAATAGAGGCTGTTCCTGTAGTATCAGGTAAAAAGTGAGTAAACTCCACAAGCAAGTCTGAGTGGTCTTGGAAAAGTGCAGCAACCTGCAGAAGTTCAAAGTGAACTTTTTAGAACATGAAATAAACGAACAGCATCAGATTAAGGAATAAGGTACGCAAAAGATGCATCAACACACCTCCTGGTAAACCTCTTGGATGGACTTGTTTTCCTTTCTGTACATATTCAGAATGTCTAAAAAAGATTTATAAACATGGTCGTCGCCTTGAAATCGTGTCTGCAGATAGAGAATTCATTACGTTACTAAACTTTAAAGCAACCAGTAACACCAGACTAAGCTACGAAGTGATGCTCCGACCTTAATTTTGTTCACGAAATTGATTGCTTCTTCAAATTCAACAGGCTTCTTTTGAGGAGGTTGTTGGTCTTCATCAAGTGGGAGGGTTATTTCATATCCCTTTGGCAAGAAGGTATTGAAACCTAATATTAGCTCTCGATGCCCTTTAAATAAATCCTTCACCCTCTCTATCACACCTGCAGTGTCAATTCTACAAACAACACAACACACAAAAACTCAAGTAAACACAAGCTTGCATAAGCAAATTACCATGTAAATTAAATGTATGGATTTTAGTATAGCATATAACATGATCGAACCTTGTGGCCTTGAAGTCTTTCATGACTTCAAGAAATTCTTCGTATTTTCCCCTGTTCTTGTCTTGAAATATATCCTTCACCGCTTTTAGATACGCTAAGGCATCATTTGTTGTTAGTTTTTGGGAAGCTGCTGCTGCTGCTGCTGCTGCCATCATCTGGGGTTGCCCAGAACTTCATTGCACAAAAACAAACTTACAAATTAGTTAATGTACAAAATTCCGAACTATTCCAGTAGATCAATCGCCAGAAAACAACTTTTTTCAAGTAAAATTAAACATCTTAAATTTTGTTTTTCATTAAAGGAAAGATAAGAAAATCCGCATACATGACCAGGGTAATAAGTTAAAATTTAAGTTTCTCCTCAGTCCACACCCGAGGAAGATTGAAACTTTCAGAGATAATTGGTCTAAAAACCTAACAAAAAACTGATCTTTCTGGGTAAGTCACGCTTAACCGGTCAATTTCGTAGCCTCAAACTGATAAATTAACATTTAATTTTAAAATTAAAAGCACACGCAGTAAATCAACAAGCACGGACTCACCAAATTCGACCAATAATCAACTTAATCTCATAATTAAAAAGCATGTTCTAGGATAATCAAACACGAGAATTAATAATTAATACAAGAACAAAAATTAAAACAATAATGAGAAGAGAATACAAGGAGAAGAAGAACTTACGGCTCTCCTCGAGCGGAAACCATGGGCCGCTTGAGTTGCGAGCTCATAAAAACGTCGTCTCTGGACCTCTTCATCTCCGTCGTCGTCGCCGCCGCCGCCAACTCTACCTCTCCTCAGCCACAAATCATGCTTCAAACTGCGATTCAACACTAACTCCCTCATTCAAACACAAGCAACAAGCACAAAGCAGATCTAAAACCAAAAACCAAAAATTCAAACGCAAAACTCGACGAAAAGCTACATACAAGCACCACAATTCCAATCCCGAAGCTCCGAGCAGATCACCTCTCCGACGCCGAAATCCTAACCACAAAACAAAACCAAACAGTAATTAACATTTACTTGAAGGTAAAGCAATGCTCAGAGAAAATTTTCTCAAATATTCCGGAGAAAATCAGGAAACGAATATTACGAAGAGATCGTCGAGTCGTCAAACAGCCGAAGTCTTCCTCCACAACGAGCTTTTCTTCCAACTCCGAACAAAAAACGCAGACGAAACGTTTCGCTGCGGAGATTGTTGTGATTCTCTGAAGGCGCAGCGAGGGAAGACGAAGCCAAATTATAAAACTTCTCCCCTTACGTTTTTTTTCTTTTCTATCTTTCTCGAGAAACAAACAGAAAAAAACAGAGAAAATAGAGAGAGGGGAAGAGGACGAGTTTAAGAAAATGTGGTTTATATAATATTATTAGGGATATAAATATAAACGCCACCCTCCTCCTACAGAGACTAGGAAAAAATTGGGGTTAATTTTCCGGTCACATTAGGGATGGTTTTACCGGCTGTAGGCGGTCCTCTCTTCCACGTCATGAAAAATTAGGGATTTGGTATTGATTAGGAGGTGATTAACTACTCAAAGCATGGATTAATCACAAGGGAGTAGTGGCAATTTGGGTGATTGAGTGGAGGTGTTGGGGGGTAAATGCGTCAAAGGGATTTTGAATTGATTTTGGGCATGCTTTGCTTTTTGGGGATTTAGGGTTTGGGCAAAGGCCGTAGATTTTTTTTTTGTTATTTATGGGTGCTGCTGGTTTGGTGTAAGTGTGTGAGTGGTTGTAGCAAATGGAAGTGGGTTTTTTCTAGATCATGATTTTTGATGATGATATTGCGTCTAACAAATTGGTTGTGAGACTAATAATGTAATATAGCTTTGTAATCAATTTTTCATAATTTTTTTTTTTTTTGGGCTTATCCTTGAAATTGTCCGTTTTTGTTACACGTGATGGGAATTGCTCAATGACTAGTCTCTGAGCGCGCGCTTAAGCACGAATCAAGTGATTTTATCGTCTTTTGCTGGCTTTTATTTGTTTGTCATATTTGGGTTCTCTTCTTTTTCTTCTTCTTTTTTTTTTTTTTGCTTTGACTTGAAATTGTCTGTTTTTATTATACGTGTTGGACTAAATAAATAGTCTCCTTGCACGTGCTTACACGCTTATCAAGTTGTTTTATCGTCTTTTGTTGCCTTTTATTTGATTGTGTTCTAAAAGTGAGAATCAATTAGAATTCTCGCTATGGAAGAAATGTGGACTTGTTTTTAACATTTGACTGTGTTTAAATTTAATGGATTCTCCTTCTCATAGTATTTTAGCTAAGTGATGACATTACCATAAGGGATTTTTACCACGTGTACTAGTAAGAGTAGAGGTAGTTCTCAATTTAAATTAGTTTGAAGTGAGGTGCAGTAAGTGATGAAATGCTTTTGGGAGTAGAAAATAAGCGTAGATTCAAATATTTCCGAATAAATTAATCTTTCGAGCTGCTGCTTAATTCATGGGAGATATCTTTGGTATTGAAATATATATTGATGTAGATGAACAAAAAAAAGATAGATAATGACGTGGCTGCAATTTGATTTTTGAAAACTGAGATGGGCTGGCTGAGCTCCGACTTAGAAACCTGGCTTAAGTTGTGATGCCTTGGTTTTAAGCGGAAGCTATGGCATCCAAACAGGGTCCTAGGATCCAAGCTGAACTCTATGTAGTTGACTATCGGCATGTGAAGTAAGACTTGCTGTCTTGGTCCAAATCTGACCCTGAAAAGGAGGCCCAAAATGGGCAATTGGATAAAGCCCAATAACAAAGTCATGGATTGACCAAGAGGCCCAATGGACTTTGAATCCCTTGGAACACTCTAACCATCCTCTGGAATTGGATCTAGTGTGACTATTTTGCAAGTAGTTGCTTTTTTCTTGCATTAATTTTTTTTTTGTTCATCAATCACAAGGAGTATAAAACTAAGCTCAATGTGCACCCATTTTTTTATATGTTTATTTTATTTGGAATCAAGAAGTCAATATTAGAATGAGTATACGGATCAACTGTTTTTTAATGAATCTAATCGATGATTTTTTTAGGGTAAATTATATTTTGCACCCTTAAGTTTGGGTGAAATTACAACTTCTTACAACATCTTTAAAACATTTCAATTTTATACTTTTGCTATTATTTCATTTCAATTCCGTACAACTGTCTCAATTTCTGTTAATTTTTCCGTTATCTGCTTACGTGGATCTCACGAGGCCCATTATACTTGTGCCACGGGGATTAAAAATTAATAAAAAAAGTAATTTTATTTATAAATGTTAATATAAAAAGGAAAATAAATTAAAATATAATTTGTTTTCAAATAATAATGGGTCCACCCCTTATTTCTACACTCATCTTCAACCTTTTCGTCAACCCATCTCCATTCAACCCTAGCCGTAATCCTTCATCCAGCCACACCTTTATCTCCCTCCCCGTTGCCACACACTTCTCCTTCTCTCTCTAACGTAACCCCTACCCCAATTTTTCTCTATCTGTCTGTGACTTCCAACAATGGTGTTACGGTCAGTGACACCAATTTCGAAGCTCCTTCAATACTCTAGCAATGGTCGCTCCCCCGCCATCCAGCCTATTCGCAGCGGACTCTACCTCGTCGGCTTGTACGGTAAATCGAAGCGAACCCATAGGAAATTCGGAGCCGCCTTAAAGAGAATAACAAATCTCGATCAAATCCCTTGTCAAAGCCTCCATCTCTATATTCGGTTTTTTGTTCTGTAGTGGTTGAACATAGTCGAGTTTGTCCCGTCTTCTGGGTTCTTGCATAAGCTGTGGGTTTTCCTTGGGTGTTGCGGATTTGAGTTCTTACAGTTTGGTAGGTCGCGATGGATTTTGTGATTTGAACCACTTTTCAATCTTTGCTTCAATTTCAATTCTTTGAAATTTATAGATTTTCCAACATTTTTGGTTGTTATGTGTTTGCAGATGGGTGGGTTGCAATGGAGTTTTTGTTTTAGTGCTTAATGTTAGCAAGGTGGAGACTTTGAGATGGGAGCAGCGCAAATAGAAGGAGAGGAAAAAGAAAGACAAAACACCACCATGCCGGCGCAAATCGTAAGAGGCATAGCTGGTCAAGGGAAGCGAGGGAGTCAAGTGGCTCCTAGAGAAGAAAATAGAGGATAGTAAGGGGTGGGCGGATGCCAAGAGAATAAGAGAGAGTAAGGAAATGGTGGGCTGGAGAATGAGAGAGTGGCCACTTTCTATAATTAAAAATTATTTTATTAATTTTTAATCCACGTGGCACAAGTATAATGGCCCCGTGAGATCCACGTAAGTAGATAACGGAAAATTTAACAGAAATTAAGACAGTTGTACGTAATTGAAATGAAATAATAGCAAAGGTATGAAGTTGAAATGTTTTAAAGATGTTGTAATTGCACCTAAACTTGAGGGTGCAAAATGTAATTTACCCCTTTTTTTTTTTAAAGTATAAGATTACAGATTACAACGTGGAAATGTACGTGCTTTTTGTATGTATGTGATTGTAAATGCAAGGGAAGTCATAATCGAATTTATCTCAATACTCATTCAAAATAAGTAAACTTTTCCTTAACGACGTTGCAAGTATGTATTTGATAGATACAACTCAACAATAATAGTTTCAACGTGCCAAGAGCATGATGTGCGGTTGTAATCTCTCTTCATTGATAAATAACAAAATAAATTGTTATTGACACTGTCAAAAGATTTTGGGCGCTTCCCCTTGTTTTATTTTTTTTTCACTATATAATAGTGCGAAATTATCCTTTTGGCGAGCTATTTATAATTTCTTTATAGTTTCTACAAGAGATATTGGGGGTGAAGTGATTCAAACACGTCATTTCGAGCGCAAAGGTCAATGCTCTAGGTCACTTTAGCTATAAGCTCTTTGCAAAATGTTGTGCTGAATAAAGACTCGTTTAGATGTACTTTTAAAATGACTAAAAGTACTTTTGGTGAAATTTATTTTGAGTTCTAAAAGCACTTTAAGTGCTCTTTGGAAGAAGCACCATATATCTGTTTTTTGCAGAAAACACTTAAAGCGTTTTTTCAGAATTCACTTTGATTTTTTACTAAGGATTGGTTTCAAAAGTATTTTCATCAAAAATGTTTTTAATTATTTTAAAAACACATCCAAACGAGTTATAAGAATTTTCAACTTATCATAATCTCGAGCGCAAAGGTGATTGAAACAAATAATCTCGAGAGCAAAGGTGATATGCGTTTTTGTCTTAAGTTCATTGTAGGCTGGGCTATACAGCTACACACGCATTCGGATAGTTAAGAAGCGTAGCCCATATTTTGGACCGTTCGCACAGTGAGAAGCCCCATTTTTCGTATGGGCAGTACCTATAGGCTTTTAACTCCATGGCATACGGAACAAGTCCAACAAGTCTTCGCAGTCCAACTGATTTTTTTTTGAAAAAATAATAATAATTAATTACAAACGTTCGCTAAATTAGAATATTTCCAAATGAGATGTCAATTCAAGCATAAAATTTAAATTTGATAGCTTATGTGGCATTTTGACATCTTTTAAAGTTTTGTTCTTCATCCGACATGTCAAATTGAACTATTATTTTATTATTTATTTATTATAATAAATTTATTAAATAAATAATAATAATAATAAAATGCATTTAATACTCAATTAAAAAAAATTGAAGCTGCTATCAATTTTGGCAGTAAGAGTGAGGGGTAGAAATCCATGTCATCATATTAGATTAAACCTGTAAAGCATTGTTGTTATGTTTTTTGAATGTTAGTATTGATTTGAACATTTTGACATCTTTTTTAAAAATGATGTTAGATATGCAGCCAAAATCAGTGGATGATTGTTGTCCTTGTGTTTCATCCTCCATGTGGAATTATTAACATATTGTTCCGATTCCTAATCATAGGGAGGCAAGACCCTCAAATCTTTTAAGTCAATAGTGGACGTTCCATGTACAGCTTTCGCTTACGTGAAGTCCTAATTTTAGTATGGCACAATTATTTGATCAATTATATAAATTTAGCTAACATTTGAAATCAAACTCCCAAGTGTGTTATTATTGATTCAGCTGAGTCATTTGTTTTGCATAAAATTAAAATAAATCAATTATTCGTCCTATAATATGCTTCACAATGACTTATTTTCGTCCTATACTATGCTTCACAATGTCTTATACTATATGAGGTATCCCACATTGAGAATGGTAGGACTAATCCTCCCGAAAAGGCTAAAAGCATTTCGGCTCATTCTTGGCCATAGTCAAATGGCACATATCCGATCTCAAAGCTTTCAACTAGAAAATCATTGATGTTTTTGTCAATTTTGTGCTTTGAACATCTAGATCAGGGAACAAACCTGGCATAAAATTCTACC